TTGTTGCAACTTGAGAGGGACTGCAGCCAGTATTGGAAAGTACCATAAAGGTTGCCGGTCAGCGCCGATAGCAAGCCAAGAGTTATCTCTAGAGACATTCTGGACAATATCTGGGGTAAAAATAAAAAAAAATGTACAACATTAACTGCCACAATTTGCGAGAGATGGGCCTTATAAGTTCAGGAACAGTATTAAAGAAAATGCAAATCCTCCCAAGAAGTGACCAGATTATAAGGCTCTGGGAATAGACCAGAGTTTAGTAGGCCATTTCCGAATTCTGCCATCGCCTCCCCGCCACCCTCTTAAACGAGGACAAGCGCAATCCTAATATGTACTTGAGTTTTATGTGCAGGAGAATCAAAAACAAAAATCATGTTCATATCAAAGACTTTAATTTTTCTTCATTTGGAGAAAGAAGGAAAGGCAACTGGAGTAGCTTTCTGTTTTTTTTTGGTTTTGGATGATGAAAGAGATATTTTACTGGCTGAACATTCTCGTACCACTGCATTCTCAACCAATCAGAGCGAAAACCAGAACCAAACGTGACGCGCTTGCACGCGTTTACTCACGCACACTGACAGCGCTAATGAGTTCAAAAGTTATACACTGTACCTCTTGAATAGTCTCAGTTCCAGTGGAGATACTCTCGTAGTATGTCTTCAGTGTTTGAAAAAGTGTAGCTGTTGAATCAGGCTTGAACGCGCCACATTGATACCAGGCCTCTAAGACACAGGCGATGAACCACTTCCTGGGCTTTTTATTGACCACCCAAGGTGAAACATAGCAATTTCTTTCCAGAAGCAAATGCATTGCTAAACGAATGTGAACACACCACGCAGGCTTATAATACAATAATACAACATGGCAATTGCTTTCCAGAGGCAAATGCATTGCTAAACGAACGGAACACACCACGCAGGCTTAATACAATAATGCAACATAGCAATTGCTTTCCAGAGGGAAATGCATTGTTAAACGAATGTGAACACACCACGCAGGCTTAATACAATAATACAATATAGCAATTGCTTTCCACAGGCAAATGCATTGTTAAACGAATGTGAACACACCACGCAGGCTTAATACAATAATACAACATAGCAATTGCTTTCCAGAGGCAAATGCATTGCTAAACCAATGTGAACACACCACGCAGGCTCACTATAACTGAGAACCATAACCGATAAAATGAATAGAGAAGCACTAGGAAAGAGAGAATAAAAGAGAGAGAAAAGAGAGGGAAGAAGAGGGATGAACAAAAAAAGAAAAGAATAAGAAAACGATGGAAATAGCACATAAGAGACCACCTGAAAAGAAATGCTCGCACTACATGTACACAACTACATGATACTACGTGCAGAGTGACAATTGCAAACTGAGAACATGAAAACATGAAAACTAGATAACAAAACAAGAGACAAAGAAAAAAGGGAGCAATGAAAAAAAAAAACACTGAGCAGTAAGGAACGAGAAGACAGGGAAGAGCTTTGAAATAAAAAAATGAAACTTACCCCAAGGTTTAGTAGATATTTCTTCGCTTTTGAGAAAAGAACTTATCTTAGTTTGTTTTCCAACATCACATGTGACATTGCTGATGATTTGGTCTTCGATCATCGCCACAAGTAACAGCTCATGTACACACAGATTCAAAATATGGGCCTAAATATTAAAGAAAAAAGTGTTAAGCACTTAATTATAAAGATTAGTAAAGTATTTTTAACTGTTTGAAGTCTCTTTTGTTCGTGGATGAAATGATGCATGTGGCGACTGCATTCAAACGAAACCTCTTATTTACTGTAGCGCTGCGGAAGTTTTTTTTTCAGTTAAAAGGAAAAAATGCAACTTGGGACGCTATTTTATGAGATCAGGAAGCTGGAAGTAACTTATCGTCTCAGGAAAAAATTGTTACTTCTGACGATATATTCTTAAGTTAGAAATACTGGGCGAAATGGTAAGGCACCCTTAAGAATTGGAAGGCAAGTAGGTATGTAGTGGAAAAGTGCTTTATTGGTTATTTTCACCTCTACTCCCGGGCAGCTGGTCAAGACTTCATGGGCCTCCTGCCAGTTTGACGCCATCAAATAAGAATGCGTGAGGCGTAGGCTGAGAGATATGGCAAGTTCAGATTCATCAGAAAGTAACGCAACCTAAAATAAGAGCACACAAAAAGAACGATGTAGCTATTACGTCACGCTGTGTACCTACAAGTGCAGAGCGTTACGTGACGTAACGGGCTATGTATAACGCAACCATCAAATAACGATAAGATAAAGCTTGTAAACATTGTAAAGGAACACTGCCACGATATCGAGATACGATTTTTCGCAAAGAAAACAAATATTTCGAAAATGAACGAGACCGCAAACTAGAGAATCATCAAAAAGGTTAATATGGAGGAGAACAGGGATTACAAACAACAAGCTTCAACAAGCAAAGTTTCCCGGATTCCGGATTCCACGGGCAAAAATTTCCCGGATTCCGGATTTCACGAGCAAAAATTTCCCGGATTCCAGATTTCACGAGCAAAACTTTACCGGATTCCGGATTCCACAAGCAAAAATTTCCCGGACTCCGGATTTCAGAGCAAAAATTTCCTAGACGGATACCGAAAATCCAGATTCTCTGACATGGAGAGACCAAATCAAGGACTTGCTCGGGCAAATATGCACCTAAGCATTCACCTAAGTGGGAACTCATAACAGACAAACCCTTTAAACCATACCTGTAATGCTGTCCTAAGTGAGGACTGATCACCACGACGGCTTAATACGCGCACTGCATCGCATGATGAATGGACTGCCAAGTAACTACAACCACAACCACAGATTTTGTTGTTTATGTTGTCTTCAAACCATTAGTCTCCCACACAGCCGTGTTTGTCTCGCCACGCAACGCCTGTCCTGTTCCTTGGGGAGGAGGGTTGCGTGACGAGATAAAAATGGCTGTGTGGGAGGCTACCAAACCATTACCGAAACACATTTCAGCGTCGTTTAGTCTAGGGCCAGATGTTCTTCTCCACGCTGAGCTTTTCTGAAGACACTACAGTACCTTCATGGTGTATATATCGCATTCCCCCGACACTTTCTTCGTGTATTTCTTTTACGACTCTTAAACATGTGAACGCTTGATGCATGAAGACATTCTTATGCTGGCATAATAAAGTTAAGCACGTATAAGGGAGGGGAGAGGGGAGGGGGACGATTCGAATGCCACGCTATAGTAAACATTTATGTAATGACATACTTGCGCGGGGCTTACTGGTTAGTACCTTGAGATTGAAAACAAACCAAAAAAAACCACTCTTAAATGAAACTAGAATAGCTGAAAATTCATTATTGTTGAAGTCCAATTGCTTTCCATGCCCTCTTGCCCTCTAGGTCACGTGACCAAATATATAAGAACACTTGGATAGTTCCAGTAACCTTACCACTTAGCGGCTTGTTCAAAGGAACTGTCAGTCTCCAACTTCCTAGCCCAGGTACTATAAAGATCAAAGACAACTGGGTCTAGGGGGGATAGTCGAACTTTGGCCAACGCGATGGCCTCTCTGAAATACAATGGAAAGACAATTGTCTCAATTTGTTCACTTTTCTTTAGTGACTGAATTGTTAGGGGCGTTAATGTTACACTTGATGACGTTATGAAAAAGGCGGACTGGTCCTCTGAAGTGCTAGAGGGCGTAAATTAATAAGCAGTCGTATTTCAACAAAATGTGGAATTTGATCATTTGATCGTCCGCATTTTCTAAAAATTTTAGTTTCTATGGGGTTCCAGTTGCCTAGTTTTTTATTCGTTCAATTTTCTGGTTAAGACCTCTTTTCTCTTCGCAATTCCCTCTCCTCGATGCGACTTTTCTCACCTCATCCTGTTTCCTGTATTAAATTTTTCTCCGTGTGTCATCGCCATATACCGTAGTCAGTACTGAATATTGTACCGCGCACTTCTCTACTTTACGACCTCTCTACTTTATACCTGTGCTTTATACCTAAGCAACGGCATGTACCCTGTTTCGTACGTAAAGCTTTCCTGTTTCGTACGGTTTATCGCCTTATACTGTAGTCAGCACTAAATCTTGTACCATACATTTCCTTCACAACATCACAACACTCATAACTGTGCGAGAAAAAATGCTTGGAAAGCAAAGGCATGCACCCGAATCTTTCCTATATTGAGCTTTCCTCCGAGTGGAATTGTCTCATACTGTAGTCAGTGCTAAATCCTGTATAAATACTTCCCCTCAAACAGTCGTACCTGTACATAGCTTGAGTTTTGAACACCTCAATGGCCTTGTACGTGTCGTGACAGGCCAGGTAGTAAAGAACCGAACGATGATAAGAACCCTGCGATGCTAGCTGGTCAGCGTACGCTCGAGTGATAGTCATCCATACGTCACGTCCGGCTAGCAATATGAAAAAGGAAAAATAACTAATATTTTCTATGGAGACTTTGTGTTGGAATGTCTATATATGATGCAAAACGTCGATCAAGAATGTAACTTGCAAGACATCGGTGCCTCGACTAGTGTGCTTCAATGGTTAATGATTACAATTCTTGATAATAGATTGTACATAATAAATAACATTGCATTTGTAAAGAGAAGACTGATAAAGATTCATTTGGCATTCGTAATAGACCAACTCCAAGGATTGTGGCAATAAAACAAAATAAATGTATTATTTATCTCTGAACCTCAGGGTGATTTCTTTTGTTTTCCTCCCCCAAGCCCCGCAGCCAAGTACGAGTTTTAATATGTTTAGCGCAAACTTCGCTGCGTGTGCCGTGATCTCTTTAGAGACATCGCGTGATATTCCGCAAAAGATCGCGTGACTTCTTAGGTTTGGTAATTTGATATGCATGGTTAACAAGCGCCTGCATGCTATCTTCGTTGCGGGTTTCAGCGACAAAAACAGGGAAAGACTTTGACGTTTTAAAACGGCCTTACTACAGGACGAATATGTCCCTCGAAGCAGACTGGCAGACAACAAGACCGACTATCAGAGAAAGAACCAAGTTTATGCTCAACAACGATCGCTTGAGCGATGTCAAGTTTGTTGCCGCAAACAGCAATGGCGAAAGCGAAAGTACCCAAGTGATTGCAGCTCACAAATTCATGCTGGCGATTAGCAGTCCTGTGTTTGAAGCCATGTTTTACGGCGAACTGGCGGAGACTAAAGACACTATTGAACTGCCTGACTGTAATTACGAGAGTCTGTTGGAGTTGTTTCGTTACATTTACAGCGATGAAGTGAATTTAAGCGGAAGTAATGTAATGGGAGTCTTCTACTTGGCCAAGAAATACATCGTGCCTTCACTAGCTGATAAATGTACGGAATATCTGAAAGAAAAGATAGATCCGTCGAATGTTTTCGATATCCTGTCATTTGCACAGAAGTATCATGAAGGGGTCATCGTAGATCGATGCTGGAAATTAATTGATCAGGAGACAGTCGAGGCTGTCGAATCGAACGGATTTGAAACAATTGACAAGTCTTTACTTGAAGCAGTAGTCACTCGAGACTCTCTGAACAGTCGAGAAGTAGTATTGTTTCAAGCTGTAGATCGGTGGGCAGGAAAACAATGTCAAAAGCAAGGTTTGGCAGAAGATGGTGAAACGAAAAGAAGAATTCTGGGAGAACAAATAATTAAAGCAATACGCTTCCCGGTTATGTCAGTACAGGAGTTTGCTTCTGTTGTCGTTGACACCAACATTCTTACTCCAGATGAAACAACTGGTTTGTTTAAGTGTTTTACAATACAGACCTCTCCTGTAGGGTTCTCGATGACTCAAAGACGGCCTCTTGTTATTCATGAACGCTACTGTCGATTTTTCAAGGTGTTCGCGCCTGGTTCGTGTTGGAGAATTGCCTATAATGGGGGTAAACACTCGCTTGCTTTTACTGTGGACAGGAGTATAACTTTGTATGGAGTCTACCTGATTGGCAGTAAGGACAACAGCTATACAGTGACATTGGAGGTAAAGAATGCTAGTAATAATACAACTATAGCGTCCAAGTCAGGAACGTACTTCTCAAAACTTTTGCCCCATAAAAATTCTGGTTGTAATTATTTTGGATTTGAAGTATCGTTTGACTGTGGAGCTTACATGAAGATGAACACCACATATCACATTGAAGCGTTAATATCCGGGCCTCCATCTGGATACGGGACTGAAGGGCTAAAAACTATAAACAGATCGGGTGTCACCTTTAAATTTCTCGACTTAGGAGGCAGCTCTACTACCATTTATTTTGGCCAGTTTTCCGAATTTACTTTTTCTGTTTAGATTTGGATCGGTGTATTATCACTTCAGTTTCAAAAGTGCGTCGGACTTGAAGCATTTACCGCTTTAATTTGACTCAAGAACAGTCCTTTTAAGGAATTTTAACCTTTCTGTTAGGTTTCCTTACTCGTCGGCGAAGTTCGCCAGTGCTGCGCTATATTGCACAATTATTACTTGCTTTTACACTCAATCTACTCATGATACTGAAGCTGTCATCAAGATGGGCAGATTGTTTCAAACGGTTTCTTAAAAATAGTAATTTTGTAGGAGAGGTTGTTTCCCATTTACCAAAACTTTCCGGGACTTTCGGGAAGAACGATGGGCATTTACCTGCCAGTAATGCTGAATTATGCTTGAAGACTCAGGTATCCAACCTCCATCATTCCATTTTTACGTGACATTTAAGCGCATACGGTCAAATCTCGCTAAACGGACACCTCTAATAATCAGGGTTTTCGGTAGCATTTGGAAGAACCGGATGCAGAGATTGGGCTGCCGGACTTGCACCGTTCGTGCCGTAGACGCGAACGTTGAGCGCCGGAGGCAAGAACTTTATGGGGGCCTGGGGGCATGCTCCCTGGGAAATTTTCAGAAATTGGACTCTCTAAAATCCAATTTCCTGCCTTCCCTCGACCGGAATTGGTTAAACTGGGAAGTCTTTTAAGGCATTAAAAATGGTCACAAAATATGAAATGTTTCATTTGGCAATTATAATTATCGGTTTCAACTGCAGTTGTTCGTTTTTTTAAGTTGATTCCAAAATGAATTCCAATCAGAAAGAGTGTACGTGTGTCCACTACCGGACGTTACGTCCGGCGTCCGGCCTGAAACGAAACCCCTCTATAAGACGGACACTTCCGTAAAACGGACATCTCGGGTTGATCCCAGCCTTTCATTGCTCCTTATATTTGACTTTCTTTAAGATGAACATCTCTCTATGACGGACACTTAGTGTCGCCGAGTCCTAAAGGTGTCCGTTTACCTTCGATATATAACTCTACAGAAAATCTACAGGAATGTTTCCTCGTTATCTAATAACCACTTTATCGTAACGCATTTGCTTTGGCTCAATCCGTTCTCAGTAGGCACAGGTTGAATATATTTAAACGGAGCCTTTTTGGTCCTTTAGCCCTGTGGTAATTGGTAACATTAAAATATGCGTTAGTTGCATTGAATTCCTTTGTGTAAAGTTGTCTTACTGCTGTTATAATTCTCTTGGGAGAATGGGTACAAGTTTTGGGCGCAGTGATTACTCGGATCGCTTGGGTGCACAAACGTTAGTTATGACTGGTCGATGATATTAACGGCAATTATTAACCAATCATAGGCATCACTTGCCCACCCAAACCATCCCAGAAATCATTGCGCCGAAAGCTTGTATTCATTCCTCTTAGAGTTTTGGAATAGGGAATAAAGGTTGTTGTTGTTGCTGTTGTTGAGCTGAAATTGAAATGGTAAGATTAAGCTTTAAGTGGACGCAAATTATGTAACAAAGGAATACCGTGCTACCTAGAGGACTGAGAGCCACAAGCCAGTCATTGAGCTGTTTGCTTTTAGTAGCCATCTCCAGCGCTCCACCTAAATTCCCTTTCCAGATCTCCAGCTGAAGTTTGTAGTCAAGGTTACCACTCTCTTCGTGATGCTGACCTACAAAAAGAAATCAGAGATTCTAGTCTACTCGCATGGAGAAGAAAAAGCGTAGGGCTGGTCTTAGAGTACTTTCACTAGAATCAGTGGGACGTGCAAAAAGCACCAGTGACAAAAAAGAAACCTCTATCAGTGAAGAGCTTCTCTTCAGTTTATCTTAGTTCCAATTTACAAGAGGGGCACTCATAACTCATGATTGTAAAACAAAAGCGAGCCATTTGCTCCTACCAGGAGTCTGGCAAAGTCTCCCCGATCACTCACACACTGTTATAAATTATCCATAAAAAGCCTCGGGGGGAGTGGATAATGAGATATTTGTATTTGTCCGTCCATAGCTGCAAAGAGACAAGCTAATGTATTCCTAGTTTATAATATTGTTTAGGCCTCCCAAAGTGACAAGGTTGAAACTGAATTCAAAGAAACTAGACAATAGAAAAATCAGAGCCTGACATTGCTAATCAGAAAGAAAAAAAGGACTCGAATTAAAAGGGTGTAAATACCCTCGGTGGCAAGCATTCTGTAAGCTCCACACCTATCAGCAAATAACCCGAGGTTTACAAGTTCCTCTGAGCCAGCAATGCTGTGTGCACCTGAAACATCTGAACTCTTATCATCAGCTTGACCTAGACCTGACAGATAAGTAGGTTATTAAAAAACGTTGTCGAGTTAATTAAAATTAATCACAGACCGAAGCCAGTTTTTGGATATGACTTTAGCAGATATCTCAAGTAGACCTCCATAATGTACTGGCGCGGGTCTCTCTACGTAATCAGTGATTGTGGGAAACCCAAGTACACCTGCCATCATCATTAGCAAGCATCTTAAAAATTCTGTTATTGTCTCGCTAAATAGCTAACCTAATGACTCGAAAAGCGGCATGAAGGATTTATTAAATAAGAAAGCAATATCACTGGCGCCAATTCGTTTCGGTATAATCACTGATTAGTTGAGGAAGCGGCACGAATATCACTGAGTAGAACAATAGACCTCTTTCAAATTGGCGGTTTATTAATATATTCTTTTATATGGATGATAATTAGCCTTTCTGACCTCGTTTGAAAGTAAGAATTATTTTGTATTTTACACATGCTAACGAGGTCAAAAAGGCTAATTATCGTACATATAAAATAATATATTAATAGGCCGCTATTATGAAAGAGGTCTATAGGCCCTGGTTTGCAGTTTTGCAGCTGATCAGTCACGTGGCAAAAAAACCCCTGCTGGAGAACAGGCAACGCACTAGGATAAGACAAACAAAAAGCTCTCATAACACAAAACGTTAATCTTCATTGTTTGCTTGTCTAAGTGCATTTCCTGTTCTCCAGCATGGTGCATTTTGTACCAAGCGACTCAGTGACTAGCTGCAAAGAGCCCATCGAAAATAAGGCGAAATATATTTCGTGGTCAACTCACACTAAACCCGTTCTATCAAGACCTTTGAGAATTTAGAACATGACATAAGTACGGAACAACATCCCTCTCCGAGGGGTTGAGGTTTTTCAGCATGACCTCACCGTAGATAATCTTTGCCAGCTCCACGCATTCTTTTTGTGCTGCTGCTTTGGATTTGTTGTCAGCAACAGCAGACAGTGGCAACATAGATTTGACTTTTCTCTTTTTCTTGGAGGAAGAAGCTGAGGATGCTTCAAGTGTGACTGAGAAATGAAAAGTATTCAAACGAGTTACTGAGCTACTGTATGTGCAAGGATATCCTTCTTCGTTAGTCTCCCACGTAGACGTTCTTAGGGCTTAGTCATGCGTTAAGGAAGGCGTGACGCGTGACGAAGCTCTACGAACATCTGGAGGAGGAAGATGACGATGCTTCACGCGTGACTGAGGAATGAGAAGTATTCAAACGAGTTACACTTGCCAGTATGGGCAAGGACATTTTTCCTTCTTAGTCTCCCATGCGGACGTTCTTAGGGCTTCGTTACGCGTTAAGAAACGTGTTGGAACGCGTGACGAAGCTCTAAGAACATCTTTGTGGAGGAGGAGGATGCGGATGCTTCAAGTGTGACTGAAGAATGAAACGTATTCAAACGGTTTACACTTGCCAGTATTTGCTAGGATATTCTTCCTTGTTAGTCTCCCACACAGACGTCCTTGGGGCTTCGTCACACGTCAAGGAACGCGTGACAGGACGTGTATCGTAGCTCTAAGAACGACTGCCTGACAAAGCTACTTCCTTGTATGATGTCTGTGAATAAAATCAGTGTTCTAAGTTTTGACAACATGAAAGAAACCAGTTTACCTCTGGAACGCAGGGGAACAACTGGCTCTTGTTGAAACACCATACCAGCCTTCCTCTGTTCAGTCATGGTCATCTCGGGAGAATTCATCTCTGGTGGATTCATCTCTTCAATTTCAGGTTCCTCCCCCTTCAACTCAGCTGCACGTGTCACTTCGTCTCCATTCTCTTTCACATTCTTCTCCTCATTTTCTTCCAAATTTGCTTTCCTTTCCCTCCCATCCTGCTGGGATTTTACAATCTCACCTTTTTCGCTTGTAGCCTCGTCATCGAGGTTTGACTGGGGTTCGTTCGGCTCCAAGTAAAAACTTACTTCAGTTTCTTGTGATTTAACCCTTCTGTTCTGTTGACTCTGGGCAGTCCTCACTCCATTGCTGTCAGGTTTGGGTTCTCTTTCTTCCCGCCAAGATTCAGTGTGAACTTCTGTAGTCTCTGTCTTTCCTTTTGGCTTGTGTTTGTTCTTTTTGCTCTTTGAGGACTTGCTTGTAGAATGAGACGATTTCTTTTCTGTATTAAAATGGACAAAAAAATTGGATTAGACACACTATTCAACAGTAATACTGTCATAAAACCGCGTAAACAGTCTTTAAAATATTCTTTTTATTTTTCTGTTCCAAAAAAATTACTAGGGGGTCAGAATCATGAGCTTGCTGAAAACAGTTACTAATTATCATCCTATGACAAATTTCCTAACAAATGGGCGATTAGATCGGAATTGGAGGAGCCACTCACAGAAAACTGAGCGACTGAAAGCGAATAATTTAGGCGCTGAAATTCCAATCTGCGATTTCTTTTTTGTCTTTTAGCACGTAATGCATAATTTCCGCGCATTTTTCTCAGTGCTGTTTTTCACAATCTGAGGGGCTAGAGATGTCTTCAGTGTGGCCTGTTCCAGGCATTCAGAGAGTAGAAAGTGCTAAAAAGTAGTCTTTTGCCGTTTTTTCTTCTAGTTGTTTTTAGCTTGTTTGTTTTTTCTATTCAACTCTCCTTTTTGCAAATTTCCTACAAACTGGACGCCAAGAGCTGAGCATCCTCAGGAAGCAGTATTCCCTTTCATTGTAGCTCTGGCCCTGAGTAAGGCTAGTTTTGTTGACCTCAAATAAATCACCCCTTTGCCATATTACCAGCCTTGCATTCAGTTCTGTTTTAATTCTCAGGGTACCTGGCACCGGTGGCTGTCGATTCTGCTGAAGTGACGGTCTCCAGGGCCGTACAGTACCATCCTCTCCACCACTGTACACAAGGTCAGAATCGAGATAACTCCACACTACACACATCACACGGCTGCTGTGCCCGCGGAAGTTGTACAGTGGTTCTCCTTTCTTTACATCCCAAACCTTGAAATAGAGACAAAAAAGTTATTGATCTATCAAGGCGAAATGAAGATAGATTTGTGAAATCTTTTAATAGAAGACACCATAGCAAAACGATGGATAAAATTCCCCTTACCATGAACAAAACATTACTTTGAGGCGTGTGAATATAACAATATTTGAAAGTTGGCTTATCATGGGTTACATTGGGTGGGGGAGAGAAGAGAGGGTGGTTGTAGGGGGAAGTCGTTTTCCACTTGTACGACCACTCTCTTTCGTTGAGGAGTTTCCTTACTCCAGATGAAATTGTTTCCCTAACTGGCATTTGAAACACATAAAATATTTAGTACAAAAAACACCTTTTCCCACATTAAAGCCACGTTGTTTTCGTACCTGGGCAGTCCCATCATACGACGAAGATAGCAGCAATTCCGACTGGTGTGGACTCCAGCTCAAACACGTGACACGGCCTGAGTGACCTGGCAGCTGTCGAAAAGAGTCAGTAAGGGGAGCGGATCGAGGGCTGGGGCCGGATGAATGACCTGATTGTAAACAGTAGAAACATATTAGTTACTGGAACGATAAATGGGAGTACGTCTTCAAGCTGAAATCATTAATTTTAAAAATCTATAACATACAAGGGAAATTTTATGTTTTTTTCTTTTTTATCAAGAGAACGTTGCAGTTAGGACGCCGGCAACAGTGAGAACGGTACGAGGCAAATTGTTTAACAATGGGAAACCAATACCTCTGTGAAGAAAGTTTAAATTTTGATGCAGTAAACTGTGTCGTTCTCTCCTAAAACTAACACGAGGATTCCTGACTAACTTGAACAAAGAGCTAATTTTCTTCTTTCTCTATCTGAACTTGCAAACGGTCCCACGAATTCAACCCCCTGAAATATGAAACTCATTCTACTTGAGCCCAAATCTTTTCAATGAGCGAAATAAAGGTCAGATGCATTAACGATATGTGTCAATTTGCATGAACTGCGTCTCTCGTAGTTTACTCCTAGAAAAGAGGAACAACAAGGCTTAAAAAATCAACAGCGATTAAATCGTTGACAGGCCGATAACGTCACCATGTAAAAACACACACACACACACACACACACACACACACACACACACACACACACACACACACACATCGTACCCAGCAAACTGCTCAGATCATGGACATGTATCGTGGACTCGTTAGATCCTGAAGCCAGCCAGTACTTACAGCTTCCACTTTCATCTACAGTTAAGCCTAACAAGAAAATGGAATATCAGAGTACCGAGCAAAAGAATCTTTTTTCCGTTCCACTTCTCTATCGGACAGGTAAACCTCATATTTAGGTCATCCAGATATAAAATTCATTTGTCCAAGAAAACGTAAGTACGATATGCACCTACCTATTCGATTTTATTATTCGCCACTGATAACAAGGCTAAGACCCTCCCCAACGGAGTGTGGGGGGGGGGGCTCTCTTTTTTGTCCCAAACGGGTATGTGCCGCCGAACAGGGTATGGTTTTCTGGGTGTTGAGAGGAAAAAATTTCACTATGTTGAATATAGTTCTAGACCGGCGAGGCGCGGTTAGCCTGTTCCAGGTTCCGAGATAGTCCGGTCCGCGGGTATTGAGAAAGCGCGAACATGAAAATACCCACTTTCGCGTACATTTCAGTTTCGCGTCTTGCCCAGTCTTCCGCATCTTCCCCACCATCTGAGAGCCTGGAACAGGCTAGTGCGCGGTCTATCTAATTCTATGATGTCCAATACTTAATAGGCCACTTGCACTAAGAGGTCACGTGACCAATGCTTCCTTTAAACAATGAGTTGGAATTTTGCTGATGCCAAAAATTGACAGAGCACATAAAAGTTCTCGTACACCCGAAATTTGAGAGAAAACGGATTTAAGGGAGTATAAAATACCGTGAAACTAAAAAGTTGTTTCATCATACTAAACATAACCGGCGGTACAACCTCCCGTATGAGAACGGGAGGTTGTACCGCCGGTTTTGACCTTTTTGCTTATATCTTGTTAAACGTGTGATAGTTACGCTAAGATGTGCTGTAAACGCTACCACGTCATCTTTTCAACATTTTCCTTGAAGTTTAAGCGCAAAATTTGTTTTCAGAAAGAGGTAATTCTAATTTTAAAAATCACATTTTGGTCACGTGACCAGCTATGACCTTACTCATTTTAAGAAAATGGTGCGGGTTTGAAAAACCAAATAACTATTATTTTGTTTAAGATATGACGCCCTAATCGTTTTTCGAAGGCAAAATCATAATTATAATCTTTCATTTTAATAAAAACGATGTCACATGACCTCTTAGTGCAAATGGCCTATTCTGTAAGCGAAATATAATGAATCAGAGTCATAAAGAGGACTCTTGTCTTGAGTAGGGAGGGGTAATAAATGCCCTTAAGAAGATCAGGGTTTGAAGGCTACAGCAGCAAACTCCTCAGTGCCGGATCCAGACCTTGAGATAAGGGGGGGAGCCCTGTCATCCAGACCCTTGGATAAATGGGGGGACCCGGTCTCCAAAAAATTTTTTCCCAGCCCTTCGGGCCCTAGTTTGCTGTAAAAATATAGGGGAGGGGGGGGGGGGTGGGTCCCCCGGGCCCCTCCCCTGGTTCCCCCCTGCTCCTATGCAAAATTCCCTAACGTGCTTCCCAGAAAAGAATCCTAACTGATAAAAAGCAACCAGGTGGGTAATTTCAAGGGTGGTCCAGGATTTGAACAAATCCAGCTGATGATCGGTGTGAGACCAGCAACACGGGATAAAGAGTCCAGCGTTCCGATAACGCGGTGCCCTGAGTGGTCGGTGTCGAAAGGGAGGGGGAGGAAGCGAGAGTGGAAAAGGGATCCTCCCCTATCCCTGCAATTTTCTTGACCTCTCCTCCCCCTCCCCCTTTTTTTGCGGCTGCCACGCAGGCTACTTAGCAACCCCACAAGGTTTTATCCTCTAAACACTGTGAAAGGATTGACCCCAGGAGTCATTTCATAAGTAGGTTGAATACGATCGTCAAAGACCCCCAAAAGGTTTTTCGGGATCCGGGATTTCCCTTATTTGAAGCTCGGGATTCGAGATTTTAAAGCAAAACCGGGGCGAGGGAGTATGCGAGGGAGGTGGGAAGCCAAAAATAACCCTCGGGATTACAGGATGGCACGAAATTTTGGGTCGGGATTACGGGATGGAAGAACCCTATTGGGGACCCTCGTCGTACGGGTGAACGTAGTCCTGAAAAGGACTCCTGTTGTTCACAGTGAGTGACGTTTCGACAGCCTGTGCGGTGGTCATCTTCAGAGTCAAACTGGTAAAAAATAAAGCACATTATTTTTACCTGAGGTGTTAAGCTCGCTGTATCCATGATGCCATACAAGCGTAGTGATACTTTTCTCGTGGGTAATAATTATAGCCACCTGCATCAAGTCAGGAGGTACATACACTTCAATTGACCTACATTGATAAATCAAAAACAATGACTGATAATCTGTTCATGTTTTCCTTCAGCAGCATGATTGCCTTAAACTGCTGTTCTAAAAAAATTAAATTGAAATCCAAGCTTTGGCCTATCAACGGCATCATCAGGGATGATGATGTTCACCCGTGAACAATACTTAATATTGAGAAAATCTCGTACTCGTAGTCGTCCTCGTCTCAGAATTTAAAGCTCTCTAATGACTGATTTGGCCAGCTATGTTTTGACAGATTTGAATCGCCACCAAAGATGGGCATCTGGAATAGTTTCTTGTACACGGTGAATTTGGAAATTATTTCATCGCCAGTACTGGATGTGTTAATTCTGCTACGGAACAAAATACACCTTAATCGAAAAGTCATATATCAAAAAACTCACCCGTCTTCATTCCCCAGAGCCAAAACTGTACCATCTAGATTCCAAGACACATCTGTGCGACCAAATGGCTTGTGCTGTGGGTATACGAGCAATAACGTAAAATTTATAAAACTCATTACTTAAGAGTATTATAATGAAAGTGACTCGTGATATGAAACTATACAATTTTGTTTCTTATAGCGGAGCCCTATAGCTATCATGGGAGAGAAATTTAGAACTAGAAACCTAGCGATGCCAGAGAATTGGTTATGACGTCAGCGTACACCGTCCGTACACATTTTGGAAGTAGGGGTAAAAAAGTCAGTAGGGTAGTGAAGGGAGTCCCAGATATGTATGTTTTTGTCATATATTTTGAGATCAAAAAGGCAAAGCAAATGTTCTCGCAACAACACAAGAACAATAATACACTGTAAACGCCACCCCTCAAAAAATTGATGCCCTAACTACAGAACTGACTCGCTGAATTAACACACTAAAGGGGCAGGCCAAAGTGTCCATATAACATATACCGTATATTGATACAAAGATTAAATTGCACAGCATAAAAGCAAGAGAACGATAGAGACCTCAAGATACACTGTTGTTCCATACGGTTACAAGTAGGCCAACATGTTTGCACGTAGTTGTAGAAAAGGCATTTATGATTTCCAGTTGTGATAATGGCATCACCGCTCTACCAGGCCACCTAGCCGTTTAAGTTACCCGTGTTTACAGCTATGGGTACGAGTAATTTACCCGTACAAGTAAACGGAAACAGAGGTCTGTGATGTCGTGTGGCTGTACCATTACTGATACTACACAAGGAGGAGAAACCTTATCTCGTTCGTTTGAAATATAGTGTACTTCAAATTACTGATACTTCGCCGCATCAGCGTTTCAAACACTGCGATCTTGCACGGCCTCTCATTTCAAGTTTAACATTCAACAACCCGAACTTCCCGGTAAGACGTATACAGGGCGTAGAGCATCAGTCAGGCTGACCAGTAGTCTGCTACACAGCCCTTTTTAGTGTCGTCACGCAACGCTCCTCCCCACAGAGGAGGAGCGTTGCGTGATGACACTAAAAACGGCTGTGTAGCAGACTAGCTGACCAGTGTCAGTAGTTTTTGTAATAAAATAGCGTCTCACTCCGGTCTAGCTGCGAGCAAGCTCTCCTATTTGGGCGAGCGAAGCGAGCCGCGCGGGCACGCACGAGCGTGCGGCTGTCGCGTCTCCTCTCGCGTGCCTCTCGCGCGTCTACTTTTCACGATATCCCCCAAATAGAGAGCTTGCTCGCAGGCTAAGGCCGGTTAGGCAACGTGTCTGTTGTCTGTACCACCTCTTGTTAATATTGAGCGGGCTAATTTACGAGAAAATATACATGTACAAGCGTTTACATCGGGACAACGAAAATTGTCGTTTACAAGCTGGTGTTCGTACCTATACTGATAGCTGCGTTCTGTATTTTGTCTAAAACTCGACGTCAAAAACGTTCAAGTTTCTGCAGGTTGTCATGAATGTATGTCATTGGCAAGTATTAAGTACGTATTCCGTAAACAATACATGACTGAAACACATCTGCTAAGAAAAACCTTGCATTCCGTTGCAGCTAACATGAGGTCAGTCTTGTATCGACTTTCTACGATCCACATTTTTATAGAAACGGCTTTTAATAAATTCTCACACTGTACCTTAAGATTGTTAGTTTTCAAGATCAGAGCGTTAACGTCCACAGGGTCATCCATGAAATGTCCAGTTCTGTGCTGCAGGACACTCCCATCTCCTGCACAACTGTACAGATTGTGAGTGGTGCTGTCTTCATTACCTAACAACAACAACAAAAATAACAAAATATAACTTTTAGATCTGTTTAGCTAAACACAATCGATTTCATAACNTAATAAATTCTCACACTGTACCTTAAGATTGTTAGTTTTCAAGATCAGAGCGTTAACGTCCACAGGGTCATCCATGAAATGTCCAGTTCTGTGCTGCAGGACACTCCCATCTCCTGCACAACTGTACAGATTGTGAGTGGTGCTGTCTTCATTACCTAACAACAACAACAAAAATAACAAAATATAACTTTTAGATCTGTTTAGCTAAACACAATCGATTTCATAACAATAATGGAACACCTAAAGCCGCGAATCATGTCGGCGCCAAAACATCAGTATCGACTTACGCTATATCCTGCACACCAATTTCAAAGGGCAATTTAGTAGCGGGCAGGTAGAACTCTCGAGCGTTTACGTTTGCAAGGAAAACAAACAAAACAAAACCGGAGAAATCAGCTGATTCCACTTCAATTATCTTCGAAGCTGGATCAATCAGACATTTGTGCAGGCAACTAAAAAAACACCTACAAGGTGAACAAGGGAGTGGTCATCTCGAAATAATAAGTTAACTATGCGTCAAATGAGCACAGTTCGACAAAATGGACAGGTGCAGGCTTGCTATAGTCAGGTTGGTTATTTCAGAACGAATGAACGAAAAAGAGGTCATACAGCTGAGGCCCTTCATCTTTTCCGAAAACTTTTTACCAAAACATGCTGCAATCTTTGAAACTGCTGCAGGATGGGCGTAGGCTGAAATAACTAAAAATACCTGCTTTAGGGCAAGGTGGTCCCCAGGAGAGAGAATACACCGTCTTCTTGTGATATGTTGCAGACATCTCGGCTCTACAAGAAAATAAATCAAAACATTTCTGAAAGCTGAGTTTATAGTATGTCATGCAGGAGCCACAAAGACTGGACTACAAAAAGAAACTATAAAAAACGCAACTACATCTTAAGGTTCGATGAAACGGGCAACAACTGGCCCTAAGAGTACTCAGTGCTAATCCTCTCGGGACATGGGAAGGGATAACAGTCAAACAAAGAGTTTTTCCCGGTAGTAAAGAATGGCCGTTTCTCAGAAGGATAACTGACGGATAAAGTCAGACAGATTATTCGTCCAACATGAAAACCGCCTCGTTGTCTTTATGAAGACGGATCATCCTTGTGCTGCACTGTGCGGGTACAGTACCTCTTGTTGATGATGTTGTAAACTCCAACTTGTCCATCATCAGCTCCAAAAGCAAGAAGGCCTTCCTTACGAGGATGCCACTTAACCTATAGAATAGAGCAAGCAACAAAAACTTAATATTGTTTATGATCTACTCTCACGTTAATTAGTTCGTATGTGCGCAGTGCGCAGTGTGTGTGCATGGAGGAGCGAGTTTCCAGGTGCAGTCCACTTTCGGACGAATTTTCCGCCGGACACTTCATTCACAGGGGATCGTTCAATAATTTTGCTCCTTTCAAAACTTTGAACGGCTACGAGTACTTTCGTGCGGTTAAGGTGGTCCCGTGTGAACAGAACACCTAAACGCATGAATTTTCAACTGGCTGAAAGTTCGTCTTGTGCGTGTGAACGTAGCCTAAGGGCAAGTTTACATGGAGTGGGGGACCCCGGTCTAGTGGGGTTGGTTTCTTTTGTTTTCACGCTCTGGGGAACACAAAACAAAAGAAACTTACCCCACTAGACCGGGGTCCCCCACTCCATGTAAACAGGGTCTAAGACTTGATTTTCTTTCGCTACTGCTGATACTCTTCTTTACCACAAAACCTTGACTTAGTACTACCACGATTTCTCTGCCACTGCTACAGCAGATGGTGGTGCTTGTGATATCGGACACCACCACCACAAACAGAAACAAAAGCCAAAAATCAAAAATTAAATCACGAAATTTTTTTGGTAGTCTGCAGTGAGGGCAAAGAAGTGTACCAAAAACAGTGCTGCACGTGCCGAGTTGTTGTTTTCTAATTAAGGCGACGTTACAGGGAACAATTCGCAACGTAGATTTTCAGCGCAACACAGCGTTCCCACATTGCTTTCAATTGTTGTACCAACATTTTTAACCTAGCGTGCCTGTATACGGATGGATTTCCACTGTCGCGCAATTTTTACGTACGTAAACTTGTACGCAGGTAAATTTTACAAGCGCGAATAAAATAGACGTAAACCGTAAAAGCTGAGGGAGGTTCACCTTTTATGTTTACGAGTGACATTCCATGCATTACCTCTATTTTATTTACGGACGTAAAATGTACGTGCGCATGCACGTAAATATTACGCGTCAGTACATGCGTAAGTAAAATAGGGGTAATGTTTGAAAAGGCGCACGTTAATGTAAAAGTTGAAACTCGCTTAACACTTCATCATTGCCTCTATTTTATTTACGCGCGCAAACTAAATTTACGTATGTAAAAATCACGCGACGGTGGAGATCTACCTTAACTTGAAGGTCCTTAAAGAAGTTGCGCAGAGACGGGTAAAGAAATATACCCAGAAGGTTTATGCACGTGTCCGACACGTGCATACTTACAATATGTTAGTTAATGTTACTACTTACCACCATGACTTTGGACTTAATACCCTGCCACAGAGTCAAGGTTTCATAAGGCCCCATTGAAGACATCGTTTGCCAAACACGAAGCATGTTGTCCCCTACCCCTACACCCAGAGTACCTGGATCAAGGGGAGAGATGGCCACAGAATATGCAAAACCACCAAGGGTGGGGAGGGTGTGGAGACTGCGCAAATGTTGAGGATCCCAAATCACAATCTGCGAGTGAATAGACAAAAATATCCTATAATATGTGATAAACATGTCCCCTATTATTATAATCACAGCTGAGAAATTCTGAGATAGTCTTAAAAACGTCAGATAAGCATTTTCAAGAATGTGACCTCAATCTGACTCCTTTCCAGCCGGGATTAACGTTTTAATGTTTAAGAACTGTTTCACCAGTTTACTCTGTGGAAGGACCTTGACAAATTCCCCCATTGTTTAAAAGACTAATTATTACTAATTTATTCAACATAATTTATTTCACAATTTTTTCTCTGGCTTAAGGTGGCTTGACTGGATTTTTTTGGGAGGATACCTTCCAAGTTTGAGCTTTTACTTAGTTGGCATTAATAAATATATCAGGGAATACATAAAGATGAAAATTTGTTATAATCGGCCATGTTTTTTCATCCAATTTTGTGTAACTCTTTGTATCAAACCAGAAACCCATAAGGGGTTTCTGATCAAACTCAGTCTCATACAATGATCACTAATTATACTACTTGTGCTAATAAGTGTACTGCACCTGTCGATCCATAGAAACCGTCATTATTCTAGTTCCACCCACATCACAGCTGATGTTGAATACAATTCTGGAGTGACCTAGGCCAAACATCTGACACTGTTCTTTACCTTCTTTGCTTAAATCCCACAATAGAAGTTCTCCTCTACAAAAAAACAAACATACAATAAATGTTTATAAAACAACAAAGATAGTACGCATGTTCTGATTGGCTGAGAGGAGTGTTTGCATGAGAGTATGTAAACATGGTTGTGGCGTCAAGATGTTTTGCTTTTCACGCGCTAATCACACAAGCACAAATTTGAAAAAGTTTTCGAGTTCAAAACTCAACAAGTTTACTTTATTTGCCCATTCCCTCGCCAGCTGAAACTTAGAAAATCATTACAAAGAAGGTGTGTCAATTTTTTTCGTGTAAGCTGACATTTTAAGCGAGAAAAGTCCATATTTTTGAAAGCATCTTTTTGAAAACAAGAACTGATTACGCATGCAAGACTTTGTGGACAAGACTTTGCGACTGGTAAGAATTTCTCTTTTAATCAGTACCATACAAAGAGTTTTGCGTTTTTTCTCGGAAAGTTATTTTAGAAAAAGCAATAGAAAACTTTTTTCCAGTGTTTGCATAGCCTGATATAAACACTCGAGGCGTTGGGAGAATTCTTGATGGTTATGCAAACCCTCGACTTCGTGTCGGGTTTGCATAACTGTCTCGAATTCTCCCAACCCCTCTCGTGTTTATATCAGGCAATGCAAAAACAGAAAACGTTTTCTATTGCTGAAAAAGTTAACAGTCAGTATTGGTGCGTGCTTTTGTCAGAGTTCAGCCAGCCTTTTTCTCAGCTGGGCAGATCTGATGGACACTTCAATGTGTTTTCCTTTTCAACAAAAGAGAAGCCTCACAAAATGTATTTTTTTTTATGAATGGTCACTGCAATGGCAAGAAGCGAATTACTGTGGGCTTGTAACAGTCCCCTCCCCCATAAAAGAAATGGTCCAAACCACCAGTATCTACCTCCCCTACTCTTTTAGAACAAGAGTGAGGTTTCTTCTACACATACGTCCCATTCCATTGATAAGAAAGGATGAAGGAGATAAGGCCAACAATAACACAGTCTCCTGATGATCTCGCCAGGTTCTTTAAGACCCTGGTTGTTGGGCTGGACTGGGTTTGAGTCCATGTCTCCCAATCAGCAAATGAGGGTTCTCCCCACATGGCCTAATCAGGAAGCAGAAAAATGTTGCTGACAATCACATTATTACTGCCACCCAGTTAGCTCAATGGGATTAGCGCCTGTCTGCTGAGCGGGAGGCTGTAGGTTCAAACCCAGGCCGAACCAACTCTCAGGGTCTTTAAATAACTGAAGAGATAGTGCTGCCTTTGTAATAACATCAGCAAACGGTTAGACTTTCTAGTCTTCTCAGATAAGGATGATAAACCGTAGGCTCCGTCTCCATGCCCTTGCACATGTAATAAATCTGTGGGATGTTAACGAACACACATACTCTTCGTGAAGAGCAGGGCACATAGTGCCCAGTGTAGTAGTCTATCCCACTTTCACACTCATAAATGGGGGCATCATTACTCATTCCTTCATTACTTGTAAACTGCACCTTAAGCAGTCTGGCAAAGTGCCCCAACCAGTGTTGTAAATTATCCCTGAAAAGCCCTAAGGGGAGTGGATAATAAGATATTTAAAATTTAAAATTTACCTGGAATTGATACCATTCTACTTACCCTTGTCCACTACTAATAACATGGCCAGGTGATGCTACAGGCCAACACAGACTCAGCCACAGCCTGTCCTTGGCCCAGTGTGAATCATGCTTATCTTTCCATCTCTGTCCTGATCGTTTTGGTAACTGTTTGACTGATAGTACCTTGCCTTGTGCTGTATCCCATAACCTTATTGTTTGGTCTCTACTTCCAGATACTAACAAGTGCCCTTTAGCGGCATTTGTCTTGTCCTGCAGTGGACCTGAAAAATTCGAGAATTTTGCTCCGGACACTTAGTACAGATAACCTTGTAGATGTACCGAGCAACCATTCTCATTTTTTTTGATCTAGCTTACAATCTTCTAGCTTATTTTGTTTGGCATTCCCATCCAAAAAATCAATTACAGGGATACAAACTGTACATGTAAGCTAAAAATTTTGCAGCAACTGTTTGATGTGAAATCCTCTTTTGATTGATACCACTCATGCAGAAATAAAATCTGGTAAAATAAGCAAGGTTCTCGTATTGTATTAAAGAGGTTTTCAGAAATAATTTAGTGACTGTGTGGTAAAAGATTTTTTTGCTAAAAAAAATGTGACCAGAAATATGGTTAGGGGTGTGGTCATACATTTGTTAGGTACAGTACCATTTTAACTGTAGGCTGCTTAGAAGTCTGTTCCTAAAAGTAATTATCAGTAATCACTTATGCCTTTTTTGACAGGCCCTTATTAATAACAGTGATGTTGTGGAAATAATCAGTTCTCAAGTTAGTTTGCTTCAGAAATTACATGTACCTTTGTCTTCTTAGCCCCATTAACCCTTTAAGCCCCAATATCCACATACAAATTCTCCAAACTGATCTCTATACTTTTTCTTAAACGATAAGTTGAGAGAATTTGATGAAAGATCAAAGATTTTCTATTAGGTGATCAATTTATTAATTCTCATAACCAAATCTCTTGACAATCAATAGATATGGTTAGGAGAAAATTGATGTTGGACACCATGGGGACTTAAAGGGTCGATTCATAGCAAAGAAAGAAAATTCTGGTTTACCGTGAGAACGGATTAAAACATACAACAAAGACTGTTACATCAGAAGCAGGATTTTTTTAAAAATGCATGTAATATGTACCAAAATCAATGTTTTCTTTGGGGGTAGGACAAAAAGCCAGGCTGTGAATTTCACTGGAGTGTCCTTGCAATTTGTGTATGATTGTGAGACCTCCCTCACTTGACACATTCAGCAACAATATTAGACCACTCTTGTACCTAAGAAATATAAACAGAATAGAAATGCCAGTCAACATTGGTCAATATTGATTTCTCCTCAAATTCAACGGAGTCAGTGTACCTACACTGTACATATTACATGTAGCATTTACAGTGTACAATGCACTTTGGTGGCCTACTAAAAATTAGCTTATGGTACCATTAAACTTGTCACGACAAGTTATTTGTGGTCCAAAAAGTCAATTGCCTGCCTGTGTGGATCCACATCCCTCATAGTGATTGTGACAGCATCAGTTTTAATGGTCAAGGACTACTTTGTCTCATCTCTACCTTGTGCAAAGATCTTTAAAACCACGCCAGAATGAGTACAATCCAGTCAAAGACCATGCAAAGTTGACCCAAAAATGCCAATGAAAATCCTGTTCCACTACCCACCTGTTCCTCCTTACAGCAAATCTTTCCTCACCAAAATAAAGGCTAGTAAATGCCCAGTAAAAGAAAAAAAAATGGCTCAAGAAAAGCAAAAGAAAACAGGAGGTGAAAGAAAAGTTAAAAGTGGAGACCTGTGCATCCTCAAACTTGGGAAGCTGAAATTTTTCATCTGGAAACGATAAAAAGGCCATGAAGTACTCAACCTAAAAATGGCATTTTGTGCAGTTTTGGCTCTGTATGGCCAGACAGTGACTGGATTAGCTGCTGAAAGCTTTTTCTAGCAAAATTCCCCTGGGAGAATGTTTAATAAACACCTTCTGTAAGGGACACTTAAGTCATGGGTATACATGTAAAACGACACGGGCTCAAGTGTACAACTCATTGATTGCAGACTCAGGTCTACAATGAAAATGCCATACAATAGATAACTTATTAACCTTGTCTGTTCAGTTTTTACAGGGTAATCTCAGACCTTGGCCTTGATGTGTTGACCAATACATGTACCTCAAGACCTTGGTCTGAGATTTCCCTGTAATGACCTCACCCTCAGTTAATAAGTGGTATGTAATAATGAGCTTTAACTTACCCGACCGCAAGTTCACTTTCAGACAAGTAAGATAGAGCCATTGAAAATATGTGGTCCTGCACAGGGGTACCACCAAACACATTCCCTTCTTCATATCTCCAGGCAATGATCTGTCCTTTTTCATCACCTTTATATTGGGCATAGCATGGAAATTATACATCAATTTATCTTTATACAATGATGTGAATGCTACGCGCGCTGTGATTGGTCGTTGCCCATGATCTATTAGAGTACAGATACATGGATGACGTCACGGGAAACTTGTTTTCTTTGTTTTGTTCAACATGGCATGCGGTTTTGAAAATGTTTGTGAGATTATTTCAGATTGAAGCAAGTGAAAGCAAGCCTTTTTCAAATCGTCCTCGATAAATGTTTCTTCTTTTTACCTCTTTGCCTCTGGTTTTTTCGATAACTGATGAACTGTTACGGATTTGATGTTCTTTAGAAGTGTTGTCAACGGATCGTGTGTCTTTGCTACGAGAGACTCGCTGTTTTGCAAAATGTTTTCGCTATTATTCTTCTCTGAGCAAAAAAAGACAGTGAAAAACTTTCCGAAGAAACTGTACACAAGTAAGATAAAGAAGACGCTAAGATGAAAAGTTGGGTTTGGGACTTAAAAAATGCCTAAACTAGCACAAATCCTCAAAAGGTCAAGCGGTTCGAGGCAGGTATGTCTATCAGTCTTTTTCTTTTCTGATCATTGTATAAAACAAATAGATTCCATGTTGCTGTGAGTCTGTTCAGTAATAGATCAACAGAGGACGTCAAAATGTGGTAAAAACAACAGTGACACACTCGCCTGCGGCTCATGTGCCACTTCTTTGTTTTTACGACATTTTGACGTCATCTGTGATCTATTACTGAACAGACGCACGGCAACATGGAATCTATTTGTTAAATAGTGCGCTGGTTACATCAACTGTAGCTGTAAGAGAAAAAAAAATTCTTCTTACTGTACCTGATACAACAAGGTCTGTGATTACAGGAGACCACGTTAGGCAGGTGACCTTTGCCTTCAAAACAAAAAGGGGAAATAAAATTAATCAAAACAAAATACACATAAAAATATCTAGGAAAACACTGCAAATAGGAGGAGATTTCACAAAATCTGTTCCATGCAATTTTAAGCAGTACATGTATATTAGGCCTTGATTTCTCAAGCTGGCTTTTTAAACTAAACCTTTAAAATTATCCCATGTATTTTGTTTTCCAGTGCAATTTGAGCGGGTAGTATTAAAAGTGCTCTTTCATCCGGTGAAATTGGTTGATGCTTGATGCATGTATATCATTTTCCAAATTTAAACATTGAAGTAAAACTAGCCTGCGAGCAAGCTCTCCTATTTGGGCGAGTGAAACGAGTCTCGCGAGAACGCGCGAGCGAGCGGCGAAGCCGCGAGGGGCAGAGGAAAGGAGAGCTTGCAACCATCCCTTACAAATTTTCATTTGTACTTCGCCCAGACGAAGGGAAATACCATTGGCTGAAAAATGACGTTCCGGAAATCAAAGTTGATTGATAACAGGCCAAGCTGGCACCCGCTTCGCCTGTGTGTCAAATTTGGTTCTCAGGGGATCAGATTGGTACCGAGAACTTGTTTCAGCCCTCAATGCAGACGGGCTCGTTTGTTGTAATTAAATTCTCGCAAAGAGAATATTGTGTGCTGAGGATAAGTCGGACCGAGTTTGTAGTTCTTGTAGAAGGAAAATGAAAACTCTTCATCAGTTGTATTCATTTGTGTCAAGCGCCTTGTTTAGTTCTGAAAACCGGGAGAATGAAAGTGAAGAGTGATTAAAGCGCTGTCTTCCAACATCGGTTTCTTCGCCCGATTGAATTCTACTGGGTAGAAAAATTCAGAAACATGTACTTGACAGTGTAGCTGTGTAGCTTGATCGTAAAGAAGGAAAAGAGAAAGAGTTGGAAGCAACTGGAATAAACCTTACGAGAACCAAGTGCCGGAAACGCTATTCTCCCGTTCCAGGCGGACAAATATATGATGTTTTTGTTGGTGATTGTGATGGGGAGTAGTTTTCTACGCTGCAGTATGGACCACCTTTCAAAAGTAAACGAAACGAGAATCAAAGTAGTGAGTTCTTATCCGAGCGGACACTTTGAAGTTCGATGTCCCCGTGAAAAAAAAAACATATCAGTGATACTAACAACATTGCTTTAATGCTGTTGCGAAAAAGATTTATAAATAAATAATTCTACACGCCCTCGGCTGTCTAAACTTACTTGACAGGCGGTTGTCACTTTTCTAATCTGCCGCACGTTTGCGGTGACAATTTTCACGCTTTGCGGAGTCCCGGGGTTTCCGGGGTGGAAATGAAAATTTATGAGAGATGGTTGCAAGCTCTCTTTTCCTCGGCCCCTCGCTCGCGCGTTCTCGCGAGGCTCGCTTCGCTTGCCCAAATAGGAGAGCTTGCTCGCAGGCTAAAGTAAAACTAGTTTGCAGCCAAGGGAATATTCTGCTTTTTATCAATATAAAATGTGAATTAATTTCCAACATAAAATTAGTGACCAAGCATTTTTAGTCTTGTTTACTGTTAAGAATCAGATTGCCACCCTCTTCTCCTCCCATTCACAATAAGGGGGGGGGGGGGGGGGGGGGGTGGGGGGGGGAGGGGAAGGATTTTGTTTAGGCTATGTTACCACTATACCAGGAAAATCATAACGGATACGGCTTCTGCAATGCTGAGCTGTGCCAATCTCGAAAATGGAGTGTCACATATTGGATAAATAGTAGGTTTTGTGTCACATGTTGGTGTAGTGAGAACAACAATTCAGACTATCACGGAAGTAAATAAGTAACAGTAAGGACCAGAAATCGACAGAGAGAAAAGTTACATGTGTAGGACTGGGATTAAGCTCACCAAGCCCTCTCGGCCAACTGTTCCGGCATAAATTATGTTGAGGAGTTGACGGTTAAATGTGAACACTAATTCAACATAATAAAACACAGAAATATTAACTCAACTGTTCTCAATGCAAAAGACTCAAAACACATGTGTTCATTCCTCAATGTTACGTGTTCACTTAACTGTCAATCAAAATTGCAGCTAAAACCGGAATGGAAGGCACCCATTTTGTTTGATATGTGTGAACGACTTGTATCGGTACGAGGCTATTGCTGCTTATACTATATCGAATAGCTTTTTGTGCTGGCTCGAAAACTATTCGTTATAGTATGAGCGTAGCATTAATCAGCTGTTTCTGTAACCTCGTTGAAAACGAGCAAGTGACGACTTTTCTTTCGCAGTTGCAGCAAAAGCGCAAAAGATTTTTAAGTCGAATAAGGGAATAAAGTACAACATAATTTAAAACAATGAAGTAAGCTGGATTTGAGTCTGACTCTCAGCAGGCTTTCATTTTCAGTGAACTCTCCGCTGCCACATGGGTTATTTTGAATATTTTCCAGAGCGAAAATAAATAAAAATAAACATATAATTTAAAAAAAAAATTACACTTCTTACGTTATGCGCCTTATGTTCCAACAGTTTTAGCTTCGTCTCTGTATCCCATATTTTAACTGTTTTATCGTCGGAGCCACTACCCACAAAATTCGCGTGCAGTTTGTGCTTTGAAAAACACACGCTTGACACTCGTTCGGTATGACCGACCAGCTGTCCGTGGAAAACGGGCTTGTCCGAGCTGACGTCCAAAAGATACACGCAGTTCCTCGCCCCAAAGGCGTATATCTGAGTCAAACTGCAGTCCGCTACACTGCTACAGTACCAATTTGGTGAGGCCAGAAGAACGAACTTCGACGCATCTTCGGCCATCTTGGACCGCGAACCGTGAAGATACCGCGAGGGGACTAGTCACCATAGTAATCAGCTGGTTTCTGGACACAATAGTGGTACTTACATAACCTCTTGAGTAAATTTATCGCTGAAACAAGATGGCCGCCTTCAAGGGTATGCGACTTCTGCAGACTTGTTGGCTTTATTTGCCTAGGTTATCCCTACTTCAGTCTAATTTTTGAAACATTTTCTTTACAGTTGAAGGGTTTCTGAGGCTCTTGCAATTTCAGTTGAGGTAAATGTAAGGTTGATTACTGACATTGTACTCTTTTAGGTTATACTAGTGATTTAATAGTGAAGCTGCACGACTGTCAAGCTGCGCACGTAAAATTGCATGGCCTGGATGTTTTATACGATCAAATGAAAAATGAAGCTCATGTCTGTAAAGGGATTCGGCTAGAATGCAGAATACCCGGATTCGGCAAGGGATTCAAGGTTTAAACACAGAATTTTGCGTGGCATACCTCTATCAGAGATATTCATGATCAATGTAAGCGCATATACCGTAAATCCTCTTTTAAGCTCCCCCCTCCCCCCCTAGGGGTTTATCTATTTAAAGCCTATTTGAGGGGGTGCTTAATAGAAACGGGGGGTTATTTAAGAGGGGGGGGGCTTATTTAATTTAGAAACGACGATGGTATCAGTTCTCCATAAAGAACTTGAATAGAAAGTGGAAAAGCTCAAGTACAAGAAGGTTGGAGGTCATGCAGCTGAGGATCAGAATCAAATCCGAACTTCCAGTTGGTAAATAAATCGTCACGGATCAGTCCCCACGAAGCTTTACAGTTGTGATTGATTAATACAGTCTATCATTATTTTATTAGCGAAGAATAATTAGGGGTTGGGGAGGTGGGGGGGGGATTATTAACTTGCCTCCCCTGAGAAGGAGGGGGGCACTTATTAGAGGCAGGGGACTTATTTGAGAGGGGGGGCTTAATAGAGGATTTACGGTACTCTGATCAGCACATTTTTGTATTAACAAAACTAATCTGAAAACCTACAGTGTAAAACTTACTCATGAAATGACTCCTGAAACCATTCACTGTACTGTATACGACTTGCTCTTTTACTTGTTTTCAAAGGCTTGAAGATTATTCTTTGTACCCTACATTGGTGTACGAGTGACCTCAGCAAAAATGTACATGCAAATACAAATGTAAACATTCAGAATGTAAACATTTCTCAAGTACCCGTCATTCCTCATTTTTGTAGACCAACACTTTTAAAGATCAATTTAATTTCTGTTCCCCTGTGGGACTTCATGTATTGTCCTTTGAACATACAGCTTTACATTATTTTTTTCTGAGTGGTTTTACGTGATGTTTCTGTTTTTTACTAATCAGGAACTTACATTTGGGGCCATTACTTTCATCCAAGTTCCATACCAGTACAGACCACTCTGCTACTTTCTCAGTTACAAGAGAAATATGGGGAAAGACTGATGCTGAAATTGAAGAGGAAAAAGGAATCCCTGAACCACCAAGAGAGGTAACCCTCTATAACATTACAAGGGCAATAAATGGTCTGGGTTTTTCATCTGGGAGTGCTTCTGAAGCAAAGTTTTTTTTTTGGAAAAGACAATAACTTGATATGGTAATGTTTCATGGTCAGAACAACTTGTCTGAAAGCAATTTACCGGTAAGTAAAATTAATTTACTGAAAAAAAAAAACAGAAAATACTGTCTTTTCATTTACTAATGCTCTTCAAGAGAATATACAAGGCAACAGCTCTGCTTGATAAAATTCTGAAGTTTCAGTTGTTTAGGCTTTAGATTGTTATTGCTATAATTTTATTATAACAAAGCTTTACTGAGGAGAAGTTATGTAAGATTTCCTTCTTAAAGATTGACTGTAGGTGTATTGTATGGCAGATGTCACTAATTCATTAAGGCAAATTACAATTCTGTCTTCAGTTTTCTCATGCTACTTGGAAAAAGTGAAAATTTTCTTTTGAGTATGGAGATTTTGCCAAACTTCAAATTTCCCAGCTGTTGTTTTCTGTTGTAGTTGTTAAAATCCAGCTTTTCCCCTAGTCCCTGCACAGTATATTGTGGTTTTAAACTGCTTCCCTTATGTTCTCCTTTTTTGCTCGCAAGGTTTTTTGCAAAGAGTTTTTACCACTAATTAGGCAAACCTGTAATCTCAATTCACAATACTTATGTTGTTTTTTCCCTAGACCATTCATCACTGTGTAAGAGAACTAAGATGCAGTCCTATCAAGATGAATCTGGTTGCAGCACAGGTAGAATAATATTATTCATCACTGCTGTGTATACCAATACCTTGGTGTGCCATAAAAATGATGTTCTACAGGATTCTTGTGTGCAAAAATCCATGAGAGCTAGTATTTTTTAAAGAGGACTCTGGCATAATTAGGAGATGACTGTCTGAGGATATACTGTACATTTTCAAAGGCATTGTAAAAAGTTCATAATTTCTCATGAATTGATTACAAAATGATTCAATTAAAAAATCTGATGGGAGTGCAGTGTACAGTATGATCACTCACAGGGGCTTTTCCCACATGGAGTTTATTGCTCTCTGCAGGTAAAAGCTGGGACAAGATCTAAGTTTTTGATTTCAAGGCTTTGGATTCGCACCTTATTGTGTTAGAGTTCGTAGGTATACCACTATAGAAGCCACTGTGCAAGGGGGTGGGGTGGGGGGGGAGTTTGTTCTGGTCACTTCTTAAGTATTCTTAATTTACATGTTGTGTGGATTAATCTTAGCACAGAAAACTTCTTTTACCTCTAGATCAGAGGACTCCCTGTCGAGGAAGCTATCAAACAGATGACATTTTCCCCCAAACGACCAGCAATGTTTATCAAAAAGGTAAGTTTGGCAGCCATATCCATCCCTAATACAATAAATATTAAGTCAAAGTTTCACCACTGAATTCAAGGTTCCACATCTATTATTTTTTTACAGTAATGTTGTAGAGAACTTGTAATTGTTGCTATACACAGGGTTTCCAAATTTTATTGATGAGTGGAGTCAGTGTGACTTCTGCTTCACAAATTTTGGAGTCATTTTGGAATATTTGGAGTCAAGTATCTTAACGAAAAAGGCCATTTTCAGACTTTCCAGCACGTACACGAAGTAGCTGTGGCGGTCCGCTGACCTGGAAAGCTCAATTCCATGATGGCGGTCATCAAGTAAACTGTCATCGTAGTTTACCCTCTTCCTGTTTTGCCGTGCAGTATCATTCTTTAATTTTGACGATTTAATTAAGGTTTACAACGTTTACAATTAACGTAAATTGTATTTGTTGAGAAAAAGGTAAGGACAAAACTATGTTTGTTATGGAAAATTTCTGGAGTCAAAGTGACTCCTTCCATAACCTCAGTGGAGTCATCTGAACAATTTTGGCATATTTGCGAACCCTGTATACAATTCTTCTCTGATTTAGGCAATTGAAGATGCCCAGGCTATAGCTCAAGAGAAACATGGAATAGAAGACAAGACGCATTTGTGGATTGGTAAGTATGTTATACCTGTGGTAGCTTCAGAGTGAGTATGAAACAAGATGACTTTACTAGTCTTTAGTGCTTTAATGTTTAGCTTTTGCAACAGTTGTCTCTAGAAAACTACATGTATTACAGCAGTGGCATAGGTCGGCTGCCAGCTTGCTATTTAAAAATTATTATTCCTCAAGCCTGAATGGCCTCTGAGTCAATAGCCCATGGGGCCGAAGACCGAATGGGCTATTGACTCAGAGGCCACGAGGGCGAGAGGAATAGTTGTTTTAGTAAAATCCAACTAGTTGGTCAAAAATATTGAGACAAAACAACTTTAGCTAGTTAAAGCTAGACTAATCCTTCTTTGCCGCCAAAAAGCCGGCACTTTTCGCTACAAGTGGGCTATAATATATAGCCTAGTAGTAGCTCAACCAATCAGAATGCAGCATTGTTAATAGACCACTAGTTGGATTTTACTAATTACTATTATGCACTAATGCCAGATTAATTTTTGACATTTGAGCTGTCCATATCTGTGTATAGCCAGGGTGGTTGTAAATGGACTTATATTTCCTTCAACTATAACAATTTCATAAGCAATTATGTACTTCATCAGATGTAGCAATAATGAACAGATAAATAAGAAACTAGATAGAAAAAATAAGCCTTCAATCTTTCACAAAGGACTCAGTCATGGATTATCTGTATTAGCCTGTGTATCGCCAAAAAGGGAAGGCTGTTCAACACCAGGATTCTTTGTGGGCAAAGGCTGTTTACATGTTCAGGCATTTAAAAACTGAGTATGGCAGAAGTGTAAGTGTGAACGGGGAACAGCCCAGTTGTGAACAGGGTCCAGTTGAGTTCAGTTTCTCAGTCCAGTGTCGGGTCCAGTAAGAACCCTTGAAAATGATTGATCTTGCTGTTGCTGTAGGTTAAAGGGCTGCCCCCGGTTGTTCAAATGTTGGATTAGGGAAACCAATTGCGTTATTCCTTGAATAGATTTTTATCCGTTTGACAGCACTATCCAACCTTTGAACAACCAGGGCTGTGATCGCTAAGTTTTGCCTTCCGAAGATGTCAGCCTTTAAGCAATAGTTGTTTCCGACCCAGATGATAATCTCTCCAGAATTGTGTGCTCCCTGTGTACCAGCCATAGCACGTTTTCTGATTTAGTGTGTTTCCTGTCTTGTTTCAGCTCCATTCAATGGAGAAATGGCCTGTGAACCAGACCGGAAACACTAATTTTTTTAAGACTCTAATGCAAAAGTCAGCGTATTGTACGATACAAATGTAATCTCATTTCCCAGCTGTTTTGCATTTATTTCTTGTAGCGGAATCATTTGTCGGCAAAGGAAGATACATAAAGAAAATCCGCATGCACGGGAGGGGAAGATTTGGTATCCAGGAAAAGAAATTCTGCCACTATTTCCTTGTACTGAAGGAGGGTACTGGTAAAGAGAAAAACATCAAGAGAAGATTAAAACACATGAATGAACTGGAGGAGATTCAACGACATCCAAGACACATTGTAAACTCTTTAGCTTGGTGGTGAAATAAATTGGATTGAATTTTGCCGCATTATGATATCTGGTCATCTGCGCAAGTTGCCCCATTAATACGAGCGTGCAGAGTATGGGAAAGTGTGATGTTCTTCTGCTTGGAAAAAGAAAGAAGAAAAAGAAAAGGAAATGGAGAACCACCATGTTTTTTTTCCCAACAAAAAACAAGGAAGTGCAGGCCGTCTCATTTTTAATTTGTTACCCCAAGGATGTGAAAACAGTACTTTTTTTCGTTGAGGCACATCTCGACTCCACGCTAAAATTCCACTGCAGTCGTAACTTGAGTTAAAACACAAAAACAGCAGGGTATAGTTTAGGATCGAAAAGCAAGCCATGAAACATTGGTTACAGAAAAAGAAAAGGGTGTATCAATAACACGAAATGTACTTTAGCTTTTTCTTGTAGTTTTGTAGACTTTCTTGCTGGGGACAAAGAATGCATTGATTTCCTTCATGTACTTGCAATCGTGACAATTTGTGATGGTCATTTTCCCCTATAACGAGTTTAGATTATTTGGTTATTGTCACGGTAGTTTTCGCAATAAAATGGGACCCAATTTTCAGATGGAACTGAAAGAGAAAGAAAAAACATCTTATAACCATTACCTCTTACCCCGAAACGTCCTTTTTCATAGCCTGTACAGCAAGCGTTTCCATGTATGACTTCTCGTTGAGAAACGCGCGATAACTTTACCGTAACCGGCGCTACCTTTTGAACCATAACTCAATTTTTTCCTTTTTGAGCAGTAACAAGGTGTCGTCTCCAACTGCAGGGTCCCGCGGGACACTCTTTCTCCTTGTGCGTACTACAGAAACGAAACTCAGGTAAAGAGTGAATTACGCTGGATTTCTGCCGCTCTGGGGTCTGGTCTTGTTCTCCCCGAGAAGTGGGGATAACAACTGAGCGGCTGGCAATTGGGCCTAAGAGTGAATTAGCTAGCAATGTTTAGACTACGAGTAGTCCCCCTTTTTTCCTCAGGGATAGTAGAGAGAGCGAAATGCGAGCGCGCGTGAAAATCACCCCACGCGAGAAAAGGCGACACGCGTGGGTTGATTTTCACGCCCGCTCGCGTTTCGCTCGCTCTACTATCCCTGAGGAAAATTGCGGGACTACTCGTAGTCTAGCAATGTTTAGCAACGTAATCAATAAGGTGCACATATTTAACAATTAATGAATGAGGCTGAGTATCTTATGAAGAATTATGGAGATCGAGGAGGGTGTTATCCGTCGAGTCCGTAGGCCGAGGCGGATAACACCCTCCGAGATCTCCATAATTCTTCGTAAGATACGAAAGCCGAATTCAATAATTGTTTTATTATTCATTCAAAATAATTCCTAGTTTAAAAACATAGCTAAAACAAGCTTACCCGCATCGATGTTAAGTTTATCTTCGATAGTTTACGTTTAGGTTTATCCAGCTCCGCAAATATTCTCTAAATAGCAGATGTCGCCTTCCGAGTTGTCTTCTTGCTGTTTTTGCTATGTTTTTAGCTATTATTTCGCCTAGTTCCAGCTGTAGTTCTTACTCTTGCAACGAGTGAAGTGTCCGCCATTTTAGTTTTTATAACGAAAACAACTCAATCTGGTAATAAATCCGTGTTCTCCTACACGAATACAAAAAATCCAACTAAAATATCTTCATGTAACATGTAACTATGTGTCACTCAACATAACTATGCATCACTACCCATCACCACCTATCACTGTCCATCACCACCTATCACTGTCCATCACTACCCATCACCATCCATCACTACACATCATGACACATCACTATCCATCACTACCCATCACTACACATCACTACCCATCACTATCCATTATTACCCATCACTACCCATCACTA